GAGTGGCAACCCAACTAAGAAGAAAGGAAGAGGAAGTCGGGACACTGGATATCATCGGGAGTCGGAATCGAACTAAAGTGAAGAGAAGAGGAAGTCGGCATACTGGATATTACCAGGAGTCGTAACGCAACTAAGGAGAAAGGAAGTGAAAGACGGCACACTGGGTATCATTAGGAGTCGCAACCCAACGAAAGTGAAGAGAAGAGGAAGTCGGCATACTGTATATTACCAGCAGTCGCAACTCAACTAAGGAGAAAGGAAGAGAAAGTCGGCACACTGGGTATCATCAGGAGTCGGAATCCAACTAAAGTGAAGGGATGAGGAAGTCGGCATAGTGGATGTTACCAGGAGTCGCAACTCAACTAAGGAGAACGGAAGAGGAAATGCGCATACTGGATATCACCAGGAGTCGCAACTCATTTAAGATGAAGCAACGCAAATATGCACTCACGCTTTAGTTAACAATGCGACATATGGTTTCTTTGATTCGACATCTCAGCATTTGTTATGAAGCCATAGTTCCATGTTAATATTATTCCCCTTTGTCGACACGATGGACTATAGTCTCACTATTTTTAGGTATATTTATGTGTGAACGCTTGCCTTTTTTTTGATTTAATTGCTATACTCGAATAATTATGACGGATGTAGGCTGTGGCGGTGGGGTGTGGATATGGCAGTAGCAATCCTGTGTGAGTGTGTTTAAATAGGCCGCACAGTATTCTTCCGCTGCGTTACGATGCCGTCATCTGTATTTCGTGGGCGGCATAGTTATGTATGTGTTTTGTGTGTGGATCGGATTGTTACTAGTGTTGATGAGTTGTTATGGTATTTAAGTGTCCAGATGTTTATCGCTAGTGTTGGCGTGTGGCTGCAGTGTGTAACTGTTCAGAGCATTATTGCTGGTGTTGGTGTGCTTTTGTGTTGCGATATTGTGCAGACAGTTATTGCTAGTGTTCATGTATTGTTCCACTGTGTAACGATCCAGATGTTTGTTGCTAGTGTTGGTGTGTGTTGGTGTGGCGTGTTACTGTTCAGATATCTATCGCGAATGTTAGTGTGTTGGTGTGATGTGTAAATGTTAATCGATCCAAACTTCTTGAAAACAAATTTTTAATGTTCACACTTTTCGTTTTCTATTGTCGATTTCGAAAGTTCATTGTTTACCTTGAAACCATAAGTAACAAAATTTCCAGCAAAGATTATTTTTTATGTTTAGGCTCCACTCGGACCTTATTCAAATACCGAGGGAGGATTCGCGTTGAACACCATTATCTATTTATTTCTTTATTTTCTAGATCCAATGAAACTCCATTCTAATGTTCAGTGCTGATTCAAGTTGAAAAGCATTATCTATATCTTTGTTTATGTTTTAGATGTAATTCGATCTGATTCAAATGGTAAGTTATATTTCATCTAATGAGAACTAACGAGGTTTCTGGTTTTATTGGTTCGATGAGATACGGCTAGATCGTGAAGTACGCTTTGTCGCTGGCATACAGTCATCTCACGTTGTGTTGCGCTTGCCGAGAGCTCGGAAACCTTTTATCCGTTTTCGAGATCAGTATCCGACAAGTTTTTTACAGCATTTTATGGTTTTCCGAGGTCTTCGTAGTTCGTACGAAACCTAAAAAAGGTTTTGATTTCGTTGCAAAAATGAAATCTTTTCTTAAGTTACGTATTGTATCAATTTTTTTTCAGAATACTCTCTTTAAAAAAGGATATCATAAAAATATCATCGACGGTGGTAGCGAAGATGTTGAACATTTTCAGTTTTCACTTGGTTACCACTGAACTACCAAAAGTTCTAGAAAATTTAAAGAACCAATCGATGTAAAAAAATGAAAAAAAGAAAAGGAATTCCAAGTGTTTAGATAAGTTCTATACTGCGCCGTTTTCTCAGTACTGAACTCCTTTCTAGAAAGATAGTTCTAGCGTAACTGGCTTGAACTACATCGGGGGAAAGGGTGTTAAACCAATCCTGTGAAGTTTCGCTGTGCTTTACTATATCTCTAGTCTATGGCACATATGTACGAAATTTCATTAAGTTTCTTAATTACAAAGTTGGCGAATAAAAACCTCTCTAGGTTTCGCAGCAAAGAAAGCTTTGTAGTGAGTCTTTCAAACGTATTGTATTCAGAGAACTTCGTACTAAACTGTTTTCTTTGCATCTCGCCGCAATAAAGATAACTGTTCTGAAAACAAGAACACTACCAATAAATCGTTTCTAATTTCTCTGTCAGTACTCATCCAACATATTTAATTTGTATTTTATTTGAAAGAGTATGTTAGGATGAAGTGCAGGACATCGCCTTTTTTATTAAATTCGTACTTTTTAAGGGAGAAAAAGGAATCGAAAGTTCAATGACTCAAAAACGTCTCTAAAAATAGCGCCCTAATTTTATTGATGTTTGTATATATAGTGGAGGGAAAGTTTGATCAAAACAAGGCTCTGTACTGTTCTGCTTCCCGACAGGCTCTTTCAAACCAAAAAGAATTAAATACATTGAATGAGTATTGAGAGAGAAATTTGATTTGCGCGATTTAGAAACTATAAACGAAGAAAAAGCAAAAAAGATTTTCTGTTTTTTCTGAAAACAGTTTGTTTTTCAAATAGGGATGTCAGAAATTTTGAAATATTTTTGGAAAAAAAGAAGTGCCGCGTAAAAATTTTTTATCGTTTATGAAAGATCTGATCTCGAGCTATCTTCCTAAGCATTTATCTTAATTTCGACTATTCTGACGAAAAGTGACTTTTTTTCGAAGGACCTTAATTATTCCCTTTGCAATCGTGCTTGTATATTTCAATAGCGTATTAAGACTTCATATTTTTCTATGGAGAGTTACTGCCTGGAGCAACATGACAAGCATTGAATATATCGTCATCAAAATTTTTCGCCAAATTGTTAAAACCTGAGCATTGTGTCAGTAGAAAAGGATTGTTGCACACTAAACACCGTTCTATGTTTAGTTTTCATGAACCACTACAATAATGACCTTGATACGGCATTTGCCACGTTGATTATTTGACTGCAGTGGCATAAACAATCGATAAAGCTTTTCCTTATGATATAATGCTTGTTTATCGAGCTAATTCAACTGATCCGAGTATATATATTTACGTCTCATTTAGTCTCTGTGGCATTCGAGTTAATTTAAAGAATACAATCTTTGTTCAATATCAATATAACACACAGAAAGACCAATAGACACAAGGAATGGAAGTAGATATCAAAGCGTTCCAGTCGATTCGCTAGTATGAACACAGATATAGGTGAATACATGCAGCTAACCGAGAGATACACATACATGTGGTTCATAATTTTAAATCATACCAAGTGGTTCTCATCATGACGAAATGATTCTGACAATCACCATCACTTTCTTCTACTAGGACGAAACCCACTTCGGAATTTAGTAACTGAATAAACCCTTCGAGAACGGTCATACACATGTATGTACCATCCATTTTTTAGTAGAGAAAAAAAATACTCGGTTTACATTAAACTGCTAAATCTAGAAGGTGATATAGATGATAGCTGGCCCTATTTGCTATTTCTGTCGTCTCATGCTTATCTTCTCTTTCTTACTTTCTGTCGAACAGATCATTTCTTAGATGCTCTCCTTTGGTAGAGTTAATCGATTCAACCAAAGAATATCCCGCTATACCCTTGATCGCATGTGTAAAGGACACTGACTTCAGCTTTTTGTTTATATTTTTAATGCATCAATGCCAAACCCATTTATTTCCTATAATCGGTTAGCTCAGTGTAAATTGTCATACCTGAATTATATAGTTTCAGTGGCAAAGTCTCTCTGCTCTGACTCTAAGCAGATAAATCTTGGGAGATCTCCTTCTGAAAAGAAGTCTAGACTAGCATCACCACAGTTTACTCTTCGTATCGATAATGAAATGCATGTGTCTGTAAAAAGAACATTTAGATACGCTTACTGTAGCACAAAAGAAGGACAAGTAAGGTCAAACATCCAATGTTCTACTTGTCAATTAGCATCTGGTTTAAAAGATGAGAAAAACAGTTTTTTTTTATCATCATACGTTTTTATTTAATTATTCTGAGCGAGATAAAATATACTAATTGAAGAATAACTTTTCGTTTGAAAAACATTTGGATCTTCAAAGAGTTAAACTATATCTGTGAGCTTTCTCTTCGAAATGACCTGAACCTTGTCTCTTGGTAAGTTGTAATAAGTTTATTGATCCCAAGAAATGAAGGGGTGCGTGTTTTTATATGTGGATAGAACAATAGTACAAGGAACGACCGTCACGCCGGCCGTTGAACAATAGCACAAGGAACGACCGTCACGCCGGCCGTTGAACAATAGCACAAGGAACGACCGTCACGCCGGCCGTTGAACAATAGCACAAGGAACGACCGTCACGCCGGCCGTTGAACAATAGCAAGTGGAATAAAAGAAAGAAAGCGAGAACAATGTGATCGCTGACACCTCCCCTTTGCCAGCGGGTTTTGTAAAGACATGAGTTAGTGTTATATACGAGAATCGTCGTCATAGGCCAAAGTAACGGGACGTAAATCCGATACATGATAAGAACGTTCGATCCCAGTTAATAGATGACGAACGATATAGGTGGGGTGATTGACCTGCACAATGATTTGAGGATCAGCTGAATAACGAGGATCAAGTTTCGTACGGCCCGTAAAAAGTTTTGTAAAAACACGATCACCAATTTTATAATGAGGATCACCACGATGACGATCATATCGAGTTTTGTTGGAAGATTGTTGAACGAGAATATTATTTTTTGCCTGTTGATGATAAACATTAAGGATTCTTTTTAGATGAACGAAATGATCATTTTGACGATCAAAAGAAAAGATGCGAGGGGGAGAATCAATCGGAAGTTGAGGAGCACGACCAAATAACAACTCAAATGGAGAAAATTGAGTGGTTTTGTGTTGAGAAATATTATAAGCGAACACAACAGCATCGAGGTAATCATCCCAGTTGTTATGATGTTGTTGTTGGAGTTTGGAAACTTGAACGACCATAGATGCGTTGAACCGTTCCACAATTCCATTCGATTGAGGATGATAAGGTGTGCTAAAAATGTGATTATACCCAAGAAGATGTTGAAAGGCATTCATGAGTTGGTTATTGAAATGTGTGCCTTGATCAGTAATGAGAGTAGAACAAACACCGTATTTGCAGAAGATATAACGAAAAAGAGTTAAAGCTGTAATAGCAGCTGTATTTGAAGGTAAAGCAATAGCTGTAACAAATCTGGTAAATAAATCAGTAACAACAAGAACATATTTATTGTCATTAGAAGAGGTAACGAAAGGACCACAATAATCCATACCGATAATAGAAAACGGAACGGCAGTAGGCGGAACAGGATGAAGATGACCAGGTGGTCGCTGCCGAGAGACGTTGTACTGTTGACACGGAATACAAGCGCGTACATGTTGTTGAATAGTGTGACGCATGCGAGGCCACCAATAACGAAGACGAAGCTTAGAAAACATTTTGGGAGAGCGAAAATTGGTCGAAAGAAAATTGGACGAACGATAATTGGTCGCCAACAATTGCTCGATACGAAAATTGGTCGCTACGAAAATTAGTCGCTACGAAAATTGGACGTTACGAAAATTGGTCGACATGAAATATAGTCTAGTCGACGTATTTGTAATTAAGAAAAAAAGCTTGTTAGCGCAGCTCCTTCGGAGCTGAAATATGGAACTCACATATATCCTTCAACCTTGTTGTCCTAATACAACATCCGTAAACTGAAAAAATTCTCGTTGACTGTAGTTGTTTTCACTAATAATCGATGACAAGAGTGAGAATTTATTATTTATTTCTAAATTTATTGCTACATTTAAAATAGAAATTTTTTTTTTCTACGGCGCCCTATTTTTTGTTTGCATTGTTACTATTCGCTCATTATTTTTTATTTTTTTTTATTCGTGTTTTTTTTAATTTAATATTCTTATCATTATAATCATTGAATCGGCAAATAAGTCTATTTTACATATGCATGATATCTACAGCACATCTTATGCACTATTGTATATATGTTAATCAACTCACAAACAATGATGTTGACTACTAATCTTCAAAATTATAACTTGAGTAATTTTTCAAACTCTAGAAAATCTTTCACCTTTAATCTTTGACCTTTGACCCCGGTTGCTAAGGTCTGTAATGTTCTCTTTCTCGTTGCTATGGTCTGTCTGTAATGGTGGGGGCCTAGGGGGGGAGGGGGGGAGCCGCAAAACTTCGATTTAAAACTTACACTCACTATTTTCTTCGAAAATATGTGTGAGTTCCACAAAATGTTTTAAAGTAAAGCTGCCGACTGAGACCAATTCGTTAGACAATCAAAGAAAAAATGTTTAAATTATAGTGTACGTTTACATCATCTAATTATGTACCCGCATCCAACTTTTTACAACAATTGAAAGTGCTTGCTCATAATTTATGAGTTGATGTTCTTTTTTGTGTATACTGAATTTTCTTTTGTACTTATCTGTTTATTTCTTGCCATTAATTTGCTTTGTGTATCATTATTGGATCAAAATGATTATTGTTATTTCATCCTTGTATTAGAGACTGAGTTAATGCATTTGATAAAAACGATTTTGTTTTCTTAATTACAAATACGTCAACTAGACTATATTTCATATCGACCCATTTTCATAACGTCCAATTTTCGTAGCGACTAATTTTCATAGCGACCAACTTTCGTATCGAGCAATTGTCGGCGACCAATTATCGTTCGTCCAATTTTCTTTCGACCAATTTTCGTAGACCCAAACATTTTATCGACAGAAAAATGACCACCTTGATATGGATCATCATGTGTTGCAATCAGAAGAGATTTGACCATCGAAGATGGTAGATAAGGCACAGCTAATTTACGTGGAGATGTAGGTGTACGAGAAATAAGTTTATGAAGAATATTATTTTTAATGATAAACGAAGAAGTTAAAGAAGATGAAGCAGTACGATCAGTAAGTTGTTGAAAAATACGATGAAGGTCCGGATCACGTTGTTGTTCATGTGGTAAGGCAGAAACATCGAAAGAATTTGGTGAAGGTGCAGTAGTAAAAGGTGGTGACACTAAAGTAGATGCTTCTGATGAACAAATTGAAACAGCATCAGAAGAAGGTGAGCCGAGATCAGGAACGACAGGGGTAGATATTTGAATCTGTTTTGGACGAGGACGAAGAGTCATAGCCGAAATTTGATCCAACTGATGAAATGAAGAAGAAGTGGAAGCGTTCGCAACTGTAAGTTTACTTTCAAGACCATATGGAATGTCAAAAAGTGGATCAGTCAAAGTACGAGAAAGATAATCGGCGAGACAGTTGTTTTTACCGTCAACATGTTTCATTTCAGCGATTTGATATTCTTGAATTAAATTAGCCACACGTTCAATACGACGATTATTAACAGGTTTTCGTAACATGCCACAAATGGGACAATGATCAGTATAAATATAAACAGTTCGACCAAGGATAAGAGTTCGCATTCGTTGAAGACAATGAAAAATAGCTAAAGCTTCCTTTTCAGGAACTGAATATTTTTGTTCGACAGGAGAGAGAACCTTGGAATGATAAAATAGATTATGTCGTTGACCATGAATATCTTGAAATAATACACCACCAGTTGCTATACCACTAGCATCAGTAGCTAATTGAAGAGGGAAACCATCAACAGGAAATCGAAGGAAAAGAGGTGCAGTGGTAAGCACTTGTTTAAGAGCATGAAATGCAGTGGATTGTTCATTCGTCCATTGAAACAGATGGCGACGAGCTTTAGTTAAATTAGTAACCTTATGTATGGGTTCAGCAAGAGCAGCAAAGTGTGGAACAAATTTGCGATAATAGGCAAGACCACCAAGAAATTTATTAGCTTGTTTTAGAGTACGAGGTTCGGGTAAATCTAAAATAGCTTGTATAGCATCAGTTGTAGGTGTAATAGATGTTGCAGATATAGTATGACCAAGAACAACAACTTTTTCCACTGCTAATTCACATTTCGAAACATTAAGAACGAGTTTTGCAGCAGCCAAAGTGCCAAGAGCCAACTGTAAATGACGTATATGTTCGTCGAATGTTCGTGAAAAAAGTATAATATCATCGAGAAAAACTTGACAAAATTCACGACCAGGTTTCATAACCTGACACATTGTTTTTTGAAAACCCGCTGGAGCATTTTGTGGACCCATTGAAAGAACTAAAAATTCATAATGACCTTGAGAAACAACGAAAGCAGTTTTAGCACGATCAGAAGGTGGTATTCGAAATTGATGATAACCGGATTTTAAATCGAGTTTACTAAAGTATTGATAACCCTTGCCCAATTCTTGTAATAAATCTTCTCCATGTGGAAGTGGACTAGCATCAGGAATTGTTATTTTATTTAAGGCACGATAATCTACCACGAGACGACCAGGACGATTATCCTTACGAGGAACAATAAAAGCTGGAGCGGCATAAGGAGAATTGGATTCTTGAATAAGCCCAGCCGCCAGAAATTCGTCAATAAGACGTTGAGTTTCTTCACGAGTATGTGGATTTCGATGCGGACGAGACGCAGGTGGTGTATGTGGGACAGTATTGAACACATTATGGATAACAATATCAGAGATATTATGACGTGAATTATCAAAAAGTGTCGAATATTGCATGAGAAGGGAAGAGAGTTGATGTTGTTGATGTGGATCAACTAAATGTTTGACTAGTAAATCCATATTCTGCTGTAAATGAGTTGGTAATGGAATAGTATCAGCACGCATAATTGACATGCACGGTAATGGTAATACAGCAGGAGTTTGAGCTGGAGGAACAGTGCCAGATGAAAGTTGACGATTCTTTTTTTCATTTTGACAACGACAAAGGATGGCAAGTTGATCGAAATAATTTTGGTGTCGAACTTGATTACTCAGTAAATATCCGAAACAAAAATACCGAGGTAATTGTTGTGGAATAGAAGATTGATTAAACACACGAAGAGATGCAGAATGATGCTGAATTTGGATGGTTGTTTGGGAAGATGATAAAGATGGATGTTCAAGAAAAGTAGATGTTGGAATAAAATAAGCCGCTAAAGAAGAAATAGGAGACGAAATCCTAACGTTGACACTTGATTGAGGAGGAATAATAGTAAATTGACCAGCATGAATTGGAACGAGTGGCCGACGTAAGGGATCATCAACTGGAATGATAATACGTTGATTAGCAATTTTAATGGAGAAATGTTGAGAATGTACATCGATAATGGCATGAAAAGCAATCATAAAATCCATACCAAGAATAAGATCGACACAAAGTTTCTCAGCAGTTAATGCATAAAATTGTATACATTCCGAGTTAAAGCTCATAGAAAGTTCGACCAAACCAGTACTGTTAAGGGGAATAACTCCATCAGCCAAGAGAAAGGAACGAGGATGACGATCAGCATAATGAATGTTTGATAATTTTTGAAGTGCATGTAAATTAATACAAGTAGCCGACGCTCCCGTATCAATAAGAGTATACAGCGGAGAGCCATTAACAGTTAAAGTAGCATAAAGAAGAAATGGTTTGGATGGGTTAAAAGCAGAGACGTATGAGACAGTACCATCCACTACTGACTCCAGTTCCAGAAAGGACAGGCACGAGCAGAATGTCCATCGTTAGAACAAAGTTGACAACGAATTGTAGGTGTAGGTGATGAAGATGTAGCAGGTAGTGACGTGGGAGATGCATTCGCATCAGGTATGGACATAAGTGGAGTCAGATTTTCTGAGGATTGTGAGGATTGAAGTGTTGTGGATGAAGACGTCGATGGTTGAAAAACAAAAAGATTTTGTCGAGGAGTTTTGAAACGAGGGTTGTTGGTCCCACGTACAGATCGAGGTTGAAAAGGTCGACGTAAAGATGTTGCCGATGATGGAGTAGATAAACGGGTGGTAGGTGTAGATGAAGAAGGTTGTGAAGAATAATGCGAAGGATTATAAGAACGATAACCATATTGTTGAGAAGGATTATAAGATGGGCGTTGGTGATGTTGGGAAGACGGACTAGAATATGGAGTAAATGAAGTAGTGGTTGGTGCAGGTGTAAACGAATTCGTAGATTGATTATTTTGTTCAATAGCAGCCAAAACGAGATAAGTATTTTCTAAATCTTTTGCCATCAGTTCAAATTCATCAGGATCCTTGGGTTTCTGTTTCAATAAAGCTAAACGATAACTAGGATGAACTTTAGCTAATAATAACTCCAATTTCATGGTAGAACTCATTTCGGGATCTGCTTCAAGAAAAAGCTTGCGCATTTCACTGCAGAAACTGCGGATATCCTGTTGTGGAGATTGAGTATACGAATGAAGTTTTTGCATTGCAATACGTGCACGATTTGGAGAATCAAATGTACGTTTAAAGTGTTCTACAAAATCTGACCAAGAATGATTGAGTTTAGATTTGTTATCATAGAACCAATCAAGAGCACCCTTTTCAAGAAGTTGTGATATAAAATCGAACTTTTTAACATCTGGAATACCAGCTGTTTCAAATTTATTATTAATATTTTTAAGCCATTTAATGACATCTTGTCGATTATCACTAGTAAATTTTGAAGTGTTCCGTTGTAAATCTTCGATAATAGTTTTTCGAATATCATTTTGTGTTAATTCATCAATTGATTGAGTAAAAGAAAATGTTGTTTGAGTAGCAGGTGTAGAAACTGTTGTAGTAGGTGGAAGTTGAGTGGAAGTTAGCACAGATGGTGTATCGTTCAATGTCAAGGAGCCAATAGAATCAAGTGTTGAAACAGTACGTAGAGGAATAAGTACATGGTGTTTATGTAAGAATAATTTTCGAAGATCGTAAAAATTGAAAATTATATCTTCATGAGCTAGATAAAAATCAAGAGCATCATCAGTTAAAAGATGACGAATGATAAATGGATGATCGGTTTCGGGGTATCCTTCCTTGAGAATGAAGGCACTGGTTTCTTTCAACCACGTAGTGAGTTGTTCAAGATCACCATTGAAAGTTGAACAGTTATCCAACAATTTACGTGTATATTCTATTTCATCTTCACGTGAAGAAAAGGAAATTTGATAAGGTTTTTTAACTGGTGTAGGTACGTTTGTTGCCATAGATGTAGAAGATGAAAAAGATGGTGGAGGTTGAAAATGAGTTAGTGGTTCAAGAAGTTGTTTAGGTGGACTTTCGTCGTCGTCAGAAGACATATAACAACCATAAAATTAATTTAATTGATTGTAACTAGAAAAGTTCCCGGGTCACGGCACCAAAATGTGAGCTTTCTCTTCGAAATGACCTGAACCTTGTCTCTTGGTAAGTTGTAATAAGTTTATTGATCCCAAGAAATGAAGAGGTGTGTGTTTTTATATGTGGATAGAACAATAGTACAAGGAACGACCGTCACGCCGGCCGTTGAACAATAGCAAGTGGAATAAAAGAAAGAAAGCGAGAACAATGTTATCGCTGACAGCGTTATTAATCTAACAGTTTTTCGGAGTAAGAGGAACCTGGCATTTGATAGGTTTTAAGTGAAAAGAATTATCTCACAGGAGAATAAGATCACAGGTGGCAGCTGCTGCGCTGGTTTATCTTCAGACGTGCTGCTTCAAAGTGTTAGGATTCATTGAATAAACGACACTAGTCGAGGTCTAATGGGTCTGAATAAGGAATATCAGATGCAAAAGGCTGCAAAAGCTATGTCAAGTCAAGGATAAGAAACGGTTTTTGTGTTTGGACACAATATCTGTATAATTCATCAAGCGGAAAACATTATTGGAAGCATTTAGGGTGTGGGTGTGAGTGTGGGCACAAAATACCTTTACATCCACACCCATACCCACATCTACACCCACACCCACACTCAAATCCACATCCACACCTTCTAGTTTTCCTTTTTTCAAATGACTTTTTCTCAAAAGAATTTGCTTTTTCCTTAAGGAGCTTCCTCAGAAAATCCAATTTTTCGGAGACGAGTCGAAATTGAAGTTTTATCATAGAAAGATGCACCGAAGTCTCCTCTTTCAGAATATCTATGGTTTATCGAAAAATGAATTGATTGTGACGAACTTTTCGTCTAAAACTTGGCTTCTACTATCAAATTTTTCCACAAATTTTCATGGTGTTTTTTCAAGCTTTTTTGACTTTTTAGGCTCCTTTCTCTTTCCATCAGCATTTCGTAAAGTTCTTTTTTTATACTAATCACTACGAGACTATTAAAACTTAATATTAAAATCACATATTTATAGCCTGTCTTGAACATTGATATATAAATCAGGTGATTTTCGGAAAAATCGATTTGTAATTTTTATTTTTCGTTTTTCTCAGAATCAATTTTTTCGAGTATACCGTTTACGCGTTCAAGGATTTTTTAATAACGACTTAATAGATAAGTGATAATTTTTTTTTTGTTGAATAGAGGACAGTTAGGACTAGGTCGCAATAGAGTCCGATTTTTGAATTTCTAGTTTGGTGAAGTAAAAAAGTTAGATATTTCATTTTTGTTGGCAATTTTTTTAGGCATGATTTCGTGAATTTTACGAAAAAGGTTTTTTAAAAATCAAACAAAGGGAAATTCAAAAATCGGGCTCTATTACGACCTAGCGCTAAGGATACTCTACAACATGAAAACTGTCCCGACATGTTAGCTCGTATCCTTATTGCGAAATCCTTGTCCGCGTAAAGGGTAATGAATTGACTAGAACTTGTGCATTTCTTTGAGATTTGAGGAATATATTTTAACCATAAGCTATTTTAGTCAAGACTACCATTCTCTGAAATTTTGGTTGAAATCGGATGAAAAATAACAAAGTTCGTTTCTGAGGGGCCCTTAACCAATAATTCAGAGAGAAAAGTATGATTTTTTCATACAAATAATTATGTAATTTTTCGAAAAGCTGGCTTCAGATTCGGATTCTCCGACCTCGATTTACTTTCGTCAACCTTCATAAAATATTGTTATTTCCTTCAAAAACCCTTTCCTTGATCCAAAAAAATCAATTCAAAATTTTGAGAAACCGACGTCAGATTCGGATTCCCTGACCCCAATTTACTTTCGCCAACCTTTATAAAATATCGTTATTTCCTCCAAAAAACCTTCCCTTGATCCAAAAAAATCAATTCAAAATTTTGAGAAACCGACGTCAGATTCGGATTCCCCGACCCAATTTGCTTTCGTCAACCTTTATAAAATATCCTTATTTTCTCGAAAAACCCTTCCCTTGACCCAAAAAAATGAAAAAATCTGATTTGTGGGAAGCTCCATATCTAACACTTCTTTAAGGCGATGTTTTGTTGAGCTTTGACCCGACGACAAGCAAACAAACTATTTTTTTTTATATGACCCTCCCTTCAGTTGAGAGAATTTTTATTTACTAGTAAATATATTTACTTTACTTTAGTAAATAGTAAATACTTTATTTACTTTACTAAAGTAAATAGTACATATTTTATTTACTTTACTTTGGTAAATAGTAAATATTTTATTTACTTTACTTACTTACTTTTTGAAAAAGTAAAGTAAATACCCCACCCCTAATATAAATGCACTTTTTTTCTCGCTTTAAAAATCAGTGCAAACTTCGTGTGATATATTTTGGCTGATCTGGCTTTCTTTCGAAATCAAAGTCTCTTCAGAAAAAAAATGACTGCAACAATATTGCTAATATTGATGTCATTTCTTTTCTACGGTTCCGATGTACATTGTGCTCAACCATATTTTCCTCCACAAGTTACATTTACCTCTGAGGATCGTACAGCAGTGTATGCAATTGATGAATTCAATCAACTAGCTCACGTAATTTATGGGAATTTATCACCTGAACCATTAAATCATTATTTAATGAAAAATACTCCATTTCCAATTCCTGACTCACCACAAGCGAAACATTATGTTCATCTATCTTCGAACTCTAGTTCGCCTGACCATTGTTATTATGAAACAGCTTGGAAATATGGTTCACGGTTCTCTACCTGGTTTTCTCTACATTGGTATCATAATCGTGCTTCAGTTACAATTGGTAATTTTGTTAATTTTAATTCTAAGATGATACATTCAACCAATGAGACTATCCTAGAAGATTATTGGTATTCAGAAGAAAAATGCAAAATTGATATTGGAAAATATTATCCATGTGAAGAAATTTACTTCACAAAAAATACTGATCTACCTCTCAAAACAGTTCGAATTGGTGTCGATGATCATAGGAAGATAGCATCAATAACAACAAAGTACACGATCTTGTCAGTGGGAAAGCCAGATGAAACATCATTGATACCGTATCCAAAGGATTGGGCGTACGCGTGCGCTGATTTTGCATTAGGACTCTCACGTGATCCAGAATCTTCAATGATACCTCTGAATGAAAGTGGCACAGTCAATATTTGGTTAAATACTCCATCACATCGAATCAATGAGAATGACACAGTCATTGTAGAATGGGAGCGAACGAACTGCGAATGCAGTGATTGCATCAGCTGGACACCGGAACGGTTAGTCTTCAACATTGAAAACTTTAACCAACCACAAAAGCTGACTATTACTCGTTTCAAACAAGGCACTGAATGTATTGTACCAATTCTCACTGGTGGTGCATATGATCAACTTTCATCGCCGCAGTACAGAATTACTATCATGTAGCCTGTCATTCGTTCTACCTTAGATATTTCAGTAAACACTCACTACAATATTTAAATCAAAATAAAATATTGATTTTAATAAAAGATTGAGAATAAATTGTTCTCACTAATAATTCGCGTAGGAGATCATTCTTAAATAATCTCATCGCGACAATCTCACCTGGATCACGCTAACAGCTTTTGAGTTTATTTTTGACAAAACACGAACTTTTGGGAATACTTTTTCCCCTAAAATGCTGAAAATTTCATTATTCGTCTCCCTGATTAAAGCTATGTACCACAAAAGATTTTATTCTTATTTCTGGCGAAGATACTCTTAACAAAAATCTCATAATCGAGAAAATAGATTTTTCAAAATTAGAAACCCCCAGAATTCACGCAGACATCATTCTTTATTTATCAAGGCAAGGCCGATCCTTCTATCTTGTTCCGTTCGGGAGATATAAGTGTTTTTTTGAAACCACGGATTTTGGCCACCAGTCCTCGGACCGCTTAAAAATATATCTGGAAAGGGGTAATCGATCATGCTGAGTTCAGTGGTGATATCTGTTTTTTGTTTCAAAGAGATCCAACGCCTCTATAGCGAGTTTCTACAGTGTCGACTATCTCAGTGCTATAATGGGAAAATAACAGATGTCAAAATACTCGCTATAGGGGTGTTGGATCACTGTGAAACAAAAAACAAAAAACAAATATCACAACTCAGCATCACCGATTACCCCTTTCCAGATATATTTTTGAGCGATCCGATAGCTGGCGGTCAAGTCTGAGGTTTCAGGAAAATCCTTATATCTTCTGAACGGAACAAGATAGAAGGGTCGGTCTTGCGTAGATCGACAGGCAACACGATTAGCTATCGACTGATGGTATCACAAGTCAAAATCATATAAGAAAGTGACCTTTAAAATCTTGTCTTAATAATGTTTATCAAAAAATGCACCTGATTGGTTAATATATTGACCAATGAAATTTAACACGCCTGGATGCTCCTCTCTGTCCTCTATCGAACGGTGAAAACCCCAGGACTCTATCTTGTTCCTATCAAAAGTTATTGCAAAAATATCCACGGCCATCTTATTATTGGACAGACAATAGTTCCAGAGTCGTCTAGTTAGAGTTCGAATTATTAGACTGGTACATAAGTTTTGCACGTTTTTTTTTGTGTTTTAGGCAAATTTGAGGGTTTAAATCTCGTGATTGGGAAGTGATAAGGGTTTGAAGTTTTTAATGTAGATAGAAATCATAGAGATCTATCGACATTAAAACCTTCAGACCTCTATCACTTTTGAATCACGAGATATAAAGCCTCAAATTTGCCTAAAACATAAAAACAGCGTGCAGAATAGGGGTACGCAAGCTCAGCTCACGAACCCAGCTCAAATGAGCGAAAGAGCTGTTCGAACAGCTCATTTGAACGAACCGAACTTTTCAAACAGCTCATTCCACATGAGCTGAACTGTTCGAACAGCTCATTCGAACGAACTGAAATTTTTGTAGGCGTACCCATAGGTCCTCAAGTCCTATTTTTGAAAAAAAATTTTTTTTTTCAAAATTTTTTTTTAATGCAGAAAACGACTTTTTGAGAAAAAATAAATTTTTTTGGGATCACCCAAAATTTTGTGAAAAAAGTGTTTTTTTGACCTTTCACCTTCCAGACACATGTTCTTTTGACCCTTGACGCGCAAACAGGTGTTCTTTTGACCTTTTGGAAGTTTAGAGGTCAAAAGAACACCTGTTTGAGCGTTAAGGGTCAAAAGAACATATATCTGAAAGGTCAAAGGTCAAAAGAACATATCTCTGAAAGGTCAAAGGTCAAAAAAACATTTTTTTCACAAAATTTTGGGTGATCCCAAAAAAATTTATTTTTTCTCAAAAAGTCGTTTTCTGCATTAAAAAAAAAATTTTGAAAAAAAAAATTTTTTTTCAAAAATAGGACTTGAGGACCTATGGGTACGCCTACAAAAATTTCAGTTCGTTCGAATGAGCTGTTCGAACAGTTCAGCTCATGTGGAATGAGCTGTTTGAAAAGTTCGGTTCGTTCAAATGAGCTGTTCGAACAGTTCAGCTCAGCTCACATGAGCTGTTCGAACCGCTCATGTGAGCTGAGCTGAACTGTTCGAACAGCTCAGCTCAGCTCACATGAGCCGTTCGAACAGCTCATGTGAGCTGAGCTGAACTGTTCGAACAGTTCAGTTCGTCTCAGTGAGCGTTTTCAACGGCTCATTATTTGTGAGCTTGAGCTGAGCTTGCGTACCCCTAGTGCAGAAATTACGTACCCATCAGAAAAAAGAAACGAGAAATAAACGTCATAGATTAGGCTAAAGATAAAGAAATTGCAGCATAGGGTAGAGTTAGGGTACAGGTTCCATAGGGTAAGGGTAAGAAAATTTTGCTCAGACAGGGTACGGAAAAAGTTTACCCTGCACATCGCTAGTCAGATGCGAAAAAACGATTTTACATATGGAGAAGCTCCTTTGTTAGTTGACATTTCTATCGCTTTTCAACTTTTTTCTAAGAAAATGAATTTATTCAGAATGTGATAAATCCAGTATAGAATTAATTAATATTTTCACCAATCCAAATATTTAATGTTTTATTTTCAGGTGAAAATATTTCTTCCGTGTATTCAAAAAGATAGTTTCTTTTTAATTCCATTGTTTTATCATGTAACCAGAGATTGATATCGTCAGGAAAACATGAGCTATTAACTGTAATATTAGATAATTTTGATAAATGACTTAATAATAATAATAAATGATCCAATTGATCAATAGAACATTCAAGTTGTTCGATATTTGAGAATATAGTACAAAATTTTTCAATTTGATTTGAATGAATATATGGATAAAAATAAGCTAATTTTTTAATATTTAATTTTTTAATCATTTTATTTAAATATTGACATAGTTGATCATTGTCAAACAATAATGTTACACTAGACGTACGCATTGTGATTGATGATAATTGAGGGGCTTGTTTTAACATTTCTAATAATACTAATGATAAATTAATGCTATAATGATCTTCAATATCCAAATGTTTTAAACTTGATAGATTAATAATATTTTTAATAGATTGTATATCTTCTGGATTTAATGCACAGAGATCATTTATGGATCTAGAATTATAATTTACTAAATGTAATGATTGTACGTTTGAAAAATAATGTCTACAATTATTTGTCAGTGCTGATGATGATAGTGTTAATTTTGTAACTCTCTCGAATGATTGTGAGTTGTTCACTAATATGTTACAATGTTTATTTCTATCAGGTGTTAACGTAAAGTATTGAGATATATAGGGTATGGTATATATGATTGCCATATCCTTGTGTACATAATATTCAGTATACCAATGATGTTGATTATGCCAAAAATCTGTTTGAAATTGTTTAAATATATGAAATAGTTCATCAATTGTTCGATCTGTGTCGTCTTTCTCTATAAGTCTAATATAGAATTTAAATTCGAAATGATTTAAATGAGGTAATAAAATTGAAATGAAATGTTCCCAATCATAAGCATTAATCAGGTGTCTGCTAGAAGAAGATAATATTAATGTGCTCAAATTTGGTGTTTGTTTTAACAGCATTTCAAAATCAACAAATGTAATGGAGCTTATACGTATAATTAGTTTTATTAATAAAAGTGCCTGATTGTTAGCGAGGCATAAAGCTGTTTTTAGAAATTTATCGTCTTTGACATCACTATCCATACATCCGGCATTTAAATATTTTAACATAGGTACATATTTCAAAATTTGACATAAATCATTAAAAGAACAATCGAAAAGTGTTAAATTTGTAATTGATATAGTTTCATAAATGGACATTAAATCATAAGATAAATCTCGTACTAATAATGTTCGGATTTTCGATAATGGTAATGCAGAAAGTAATTCATCGTGTTTATGTAAGGTATCATTCAAACAAAAATAGCATAGATCAGATAACGTTGGTAACATAGATTTTATCTTGTCCACTTCATTTTCTTTTACTTTAATCAAGGTTAACGATCGAAGATGAGAAAATTTATTCAATGAAAAAAAAGACAAAAACTCTCCAATTTGCCCACATGTGTTTGATTCATTCGATAATTTTAATGAACAAATTTTTGTCTTGATTTCTGGATCCAATAATATTGTTTTACAAAATTGATCAAATATTGCTTTTTTAACATTTTGAAAATTGACATGTAACCAAATATGTCGAATAAGTTTGTTAAAGCGACAATTTAATCGATCAAATGAATAAAATATATCTTGTCCATTAAGATATTCAAAACATTCGATAAATATTTCATTTGGTAATAATTCAAATTTCATAACGAGTCAGATTTCATTCGTAGTAGAAATAATTGACTAGAATTCAAAAACACATTCTTTTATCTTTTTAATATATCACACGCATGTGTGTCTTATTCTCATCGCTCAAATCATTGATAACAAATTGCACAATAAGAAAAAAAACGATATTGCTCTTTTTTTATTGTGTGATAATGTGACACTAAAATATACTTGCATTCAATGAAGAAAATGCTAAATCTCTACAGGATACAATAAACCATAGACAGAAGATACTGATAAATTATGGACAACTACAGAGCGATGTTTCACTCATGAAATGGAAACAAGAAGACACAATAGGTGGCACAAAAAAAAACGATCAAGAGAGAATGAAAAGAAAAGAGTAAAAAAAATGATAAGAAGAAAAGAGCAAAAGAGGTAAAACATCGACGAGAAAAAAAAGGAGAACGAAAGAAGAGAAAGAGAAGCAAAGAAAAATATCAATGAAAATTAGCAAAGAAAAGAGCTATAGAAGCAAAAGAGAAAAATATTCTATCCACGTATGGCGCTACATTTCAATATCTCTCAATGAAATTAACCCATTCCAAAATAGTGATTCATGCCTCTCAATAAAGTTCTTTATACGCCTTAATAAAAAAAGTGGCCCATATTAACTAAAATCTCTTTTCAGGAATAATAACGGTGCCACAAATTGACTGAGCTCATTCTAAAATTGTCTAAGCGCATCCGGAAATTTTTTCAAATTGTTCTAGAGAATTGATCATTCTACATACAAGTGATGTCGTAGCCAACTATTTTCTGATCTACAAAGGTTTCTTCCAGTATCCCATTGGTTGTTTGTTGAAAACCACTCAAAAATTTACTTTCTCTTGTTGCAGATGGAGCTAGTTATTAGAGTCCTTGAACCTGGTCGGATGTCGGATGTAAAACAAAATATCGGGTTCGGGTGCGTGTATAAACCTAAACCCGAACCGGACCCGACCCGACTATTAATTAGTAACATCTCAACGCTTCAAAGTTTTCCTATTTTTCCACGCTGTCAGTTGTATAGAGGTATAGGAGCCAAAGCGAACTCGATTATGGTTGAACATTTCATTATATTACAGTCTATGATGTATTGAGAGAATTTATTTTAAACGAAAATTTATCTATAAATTATGATGAGCCTTATGAAAAAATAACCGAATATATGAGGAGCAAAGGAACTATTAAAAAGAAGAAAATATTTTCTCGTGGTGAAAAAATACTCATGCATTTATCCACGGTTATCATGCTTAGCGCTATCATTGCTTTCTATATCTGGATCCTCAGCCAGAAGTGAACGGATCTTTAATTAAATAAGTAAAACGTTAGAAGCATGTAGTCAACAGCTGAATTCTGAATCACCCAGGAGGAAGTTTACGGCTTTCGGAAACCACCGGAAGAGATGATTTTTTCTGCAGATTCCCGCCGCTTCCCTCCGGAAAAACCATACAATGGTCTATTTAATTTCAATCTGAATTTAGGAAGAAAAATTGCAATCGATTTCAAACTGAAATAGGGGACTAAGAGACTATAGAATTATACATTATTCAGATCTATTGATGGTCATCTTACAGTCCTTCTATTCTATTTGAGGTGAAACTAGGGACTATTTGGAATAACTAGGGGGGACTAGGAAGACCAGGACGGTAAACCTGAATTTGGTCGAAAAATAAAAATTTCGAAGTGTAAAAATGCTAAACAATAAAAGTAGCAATAAAGACAATGTGTAAGAATTGCGGATGAGGGTGATAGTGACATTAATGATGATGCTAATGCTTCGAATTGGGATGGTGATGATGAAGGTGAAGATACATGAATGAGAATAGGGCAAAGTACAGTCAGTTCTGCTTTGGTTGAAAAGAAAGATGTCGGAATGGAGAATTGTCAAAAACAAAAATAAGAAGTGAATTGAAGATTAGATAGTCTTTCGATGAACTTTAATGGTTCAACATTTCAATATTTCTACATTTGTTTGATATTGTTTCTGATAATTTTGCCTTTCAACACTTTTCTTTTCTACCAAAGTAGCGGATATCGAAGATAACAGGGTTTCATCCAACATTTTTCTGTTTTGATATTTTCACTTTCGGTATTTGAACCTTCGACATTTTTGCTTTCGGTATTAATCAGGCGAATCACTAGGAGGGATAAGGTAGCGACTTTATATTCATTTAGTCTTACTTTTCATTGTTGTCTGTCCTATAATCATTTTTTACGGAGACGATACAAAGAGTACTTACAGTCTATCCATTCGTACAATTCGTCCATATATACGTCACAGTCTCTCATTTATGTAAATGGTTATATACGACTTTTTAGAATAACTCGATGATGTGTAGCAGATAAAACGTCTTGTTATAGTTATTTTGAATTCAGAGGGTCTTGGAACTGCTTATAATTATGGGATGATTTATGGTATATGTTGATACTTTATTTATAACATAAGAGCTTTGATCATCTTGCTTCAAATTGAACACAGGTGTGTTTTCTAAAGTTACTATACAGGGTGTTCCAAAAGTCCCTTAGGAAAGTTTTTTCGTATAACTTCACTGTTGATTGAATTTAACCAACTAATTTTTTTTTCAGATGATAGGTTAGTCTGTAAAGTTTTTATCTATACCGACAAACTTCGAAAGCATTGTTGAAAGCTATCAAATTTAACCAAAATAGATAAATTTAGCCCTTTTTTTGTAGAATATCGTGGTTTTTTGTGGGTTTAATATCTTATGAAGAGACCATTCTTTTTGGCTAAAATTCTGAGAAAATTCTTATGACGTCAAGACTAGGGATGTAACGGTGACGATCATTCACCAGTTCACCGGTCACCGATAACCGGCACAGACCGGTAACCGTTCTACATTAGTTACCGGTTCACCGGTTACCGGTCTGAACCGGTTACCGGTCCAACGGTTACCGCTATAGACCGATAACCGGTCCACCGGTTACCGGTATAGCTTGTAACCGTTTCACCGGTTTTCGGCGGTATTCACCCGTATTCATAAGTATTCAACGGTTTTCACCGGCATTAACCGTTTTTCACCAGTATTCACCGTTTTCACCGGTATTCACCGTTTGTACCAGTTTTCACCGGTTTTCACTGTTTTCACCGTTTTTCACCGTTTTTCACCGTTTTCACCGATTTTCACCGGTCTTCACCATTTTCACTGTTTTCACTGGTTTTCACCGGTATTCACCGGTTTCACCTGTTTTCACCATTTTTCACTGTTTTCATCGGTTTTCACCGTTTGTACCAGTTTTCACCGTTTTCACCGTTTTCAC